TCAGCAGGACTTAAAATTGCATTTTAGTTCTGAAGAGTGCTTTATTTCACATGTTTCAGGTTTCTGGCTTCTTAAGAACATGTGGTAGAAAAAGGATTTGCTTTGTAATATTTACATACTGCAAGTGATTTAATATTGGAAAATGTAATTGGGCCCCTGGCCACAAAGCAAAGACACAAGCAGCAATGCACAGTTGTGGCACTGAACCAATACCATGCTACAGAACTGTCTAACAAGGCAGAATAAGGTTTGCAGAGTAGCTGGCTCTGTCCCTCCAGCTACTTCTTACATTTTACAAGATCAGTGAGATCTATTTGTGTGTGTCTTAGCCTTTCTAAATGAGCATCTTCCCTATTTTTTGACATGGAAATCACCATCGTATCCTTCAAAGTCAGGGTAATTTGAAGGTACACACATCTCATTCTCAAATTGCCCTTTAAATAACCATTTCCTATTCCATACATTTATATAGTGTGAAACTCTGTTCCTGGTAAAACTGTCTAACTGGGTAAAAATGGGTTTGCTCATTTGCTCCCATTTCCTTGAGAACCACATGCACACAACATTAGTTACATATGGGCTAATTACTTTGTTCAAAACAATCTATATTAAAAATCTGTATCTCCCAGTATTTGCTGTAAATATTAGAGGAGATATACAAAAGTTGTTGAATTATGACTTCAAAGCAAAACAAGTAACATGGAAATTAATTAATTAAAAAAGTTCTCAGCATTAGAAAAAGTTAAAAATAGAGCAAGAGAGATAAAAACTCATTCTTTTAAATGAGATTAGAAAGTGGAGAATGTAGGGAGGCAATGATTCAGAAACTGAAAAACAATTTATTAATCTTGTGGAAATTCAGACAATCTTCTGTTGTACCAATAGAAAATTTAAAAAAAGAAAGAAAACCCAAAACACAAAGGACTCTTAAGAAAATGAAAGGAGAGGGCAATATAAGAATAAGCTTTATGGAGGTCAGCATCTCAAAAATACTTTAGCAGAAGTTTCAAACTTCTAAGTTTTGTTTTAGTTTGCAGGTACATTAAAGTATGAAACAGGTGATGTTTCAATCTCCTTTTTGAATTAACTAGTTTAAATCTTATAAAATATCTCATTTTCAGTGTACAAATAGCAAGTCTACCATATAAGTGCAATAATCTCTGAAATGGAATAAGATGGAAAATAACAAATTCTTATATCTGCTGCAAGAACACACAGAACTAATACATGCCCCAGAACCAGGACAGGGAAAAATATATCTGTCCGTGTAGGAATTGCACAGAATAAACTAGGGCTGATGACAGTGACAGTAGATTAAAGTAATGGTGACACAGTAAATCACTGGGTCTTAGCAGCATCCCTGACTGCTGAGGAGCCTGTGAAACTTGCCATAACCATGTCCATGGACTGCTTGAGTGGGTTCCAATATTATTTTAACAGTTAATGCAGAAGTTGAGAACATAGTGAAGTGGACAACTATTTGACATCTGTGCTGAACTGATTCCCATTGCAAGTTTAGTCAACACAGTGATGGATCAAGTTTCTGTATATGCCAGGTTCATGGTGAGAGCTTATTTGAAGAAAAATATTGACACAGGCTCAAGCTCATGAATTTTATTAAATACAAATAAACAGCTACTGAGGGTTTGGCACTACTATTAGCAACCTAAGAAACCATTCTTTAGTTCTTTCACTGAAGAAACTTCTGATACTTCTGATCAGTTACATTTTGACAGGAGCTTCAGTGTGGTGGAACATTTTGCCTAAACCAGGTCTGACAAACTGAGCTAAATTTCATATGTGAGTAAAGTTTTATATTTATTATTTTAATTGTTACAATAAAGACAGATATTTTAACAAAATCTTAAATTGAACAGATATTTCATATTATATTCAGTGCTTCACTGACAAGTCATGAAATCAAATGTAATGGGTTCTGTGCCAAGCTTTTTATGGCACAGAAGTTTAATAAACACATACCTGTAGATGTATGCTTTGTCCATGATAGCTTCCAAACGATCATTAAACTCAAAGAATGTGTTATGCTGAATGGGAAAATAAACAAACAAATCCAATCACTGCTTCCCACCACACATCTTTTTCTAATAGTACAGACATTAGTTCACATACACATTTTGAAAATAATGGATTTTTCAGTAATCTGACTTTCTTTAAACTTTTAAGGTAAACTGCAAACCAAGAATGAAAATCGAGCTGAATATTGTTTTAAGTGCTGAGTCTCCCATTCATCAGAAAATAGAAATAACCTTGCTCTTTAGGTCAGACAGCTGCAGATGAATGACTGAAACACCTTAAAGCATATGTATTTGCTTGGGCAACTTTATCAGAGATAATTACATGCATAAAAATCCCTTTTTACTGTTTCTGAAATTCCAGTAATTGTCACTAAGTGATCATATATATCAGCAATTAATTACATACTAGATGATACCATGTAGTAACAATTCCTATTGTACTGGATTCCTCCTGTTTATTATTTATAGTTTACCTTTAGTGATAGCCCTTAAAATTCACATGGAGCTTTTCCTTTGTTCTTGTACAGTACCTGACAGTTTATCTAATATGAGGCACTGTTTAACTTTTCAGTCTTTGCATTTTTTGGTTCTGATTTATTGATTTATGAAGTGATGTTGAAAAATTAAGGGCACCTTCATCTTATTCTCAGAATTCTTGTTCTCCCTCCAACTGGAAATGAAAGCCAGTTCTTTGTCAATATGTTGCTTGTGTGAAGGGGGATGTATTTAGCCACAGAGTGGCCTGCTAGGTACCAGGAAATGTAGGGAGAGGGCTGTTAACTAATTCTTTCTCAGTCCCTTCATTGCACAACTACAGATGTCTTTGGATTTGATAACAAAAGTGGGGTTACGCTTGTTAAATATGCTGTGCAAAGTTTATGTCATCCTTAAAATTCCTTCCTTTGTTTTTAAACACCTAACATTACCAACTGAAAGGGAATATGTATACTAGTACTAATTAATGATTTGTTTTTTAAAAAAATAATATTTGAAAACTAAGCAGGTAATTTAAGATTAGTCTAATTTAAATTATGGAAACAAACCAGCCTTAATCACAAAGCACTTTTGAAAGTAGGTAAAAATAAAGTCAGAAGAAAAATAAGAGAATAGCACTTCATTTGGCTAGACTATATCTTACAACTTTGGTTGTTTTATTTACTGATGTTGTGGCTTATCCTGAAGATATTTTCCAGTTTCTGAATTTCATATTCCTAAATGCTATAAACAAATTTCCATTGGGCTGTAAAAACATTTATGTGTGGCTAGCCATCCATCACTAACACAGAACTTACCTTTAGAATCCTATTTGCTCTAAATGCTGGATTAAATCCAAAGAAGATGGCTAAAACTTCAAATGGCAATATTGATATCAGATCGAGCTGTTAAAGAGCAGAGAGGTCAATTTAAACTTCACAATAATCATAATGCTTTTAGTTGCTTTCAAAACCTTCCTTAGATTGAATTATAGTTGAGTATAGTATTTGAAAAGTCAGCATGCTAAGTCTATAACTTCCCAAGTACTGGCAGGCAAAAATTATCTCTTTGAAAACAACTACAGCTTTGCTCTGCTTTTAAATCCCTCATGACTGTGATTTTAATCTGTTTCATGGGAATTAATAACAGTATCTCAGATATTTGATTCCTAATACTTTCTGCTTATTTCATAGTTTTGACAAGACTAAAATGGTAGGCATCTGGCTGGTGAGTGGAAGTGAGGATAGCACTCCACAAGCTATTCTGAGAAGTCCCATGGCTTTTAAAACCAGGCTGCCTAAAGCAAACTGGGAGACCACAATGAATTAGACTCCTCGCTCACAACCTGCAGAAGCCATGTGTTCCAAATGAAAGATTCCTCATAGGATAAGTTTGGTTATTGGGTTTTTCTTTTAATAGATATTGTCTCTTGTTATATGTGGATGTTTGGTTTTCCCATGTCACAAAGATTTTCAACATCTCCCTGCAGTCCATCAATTGTATAATTACTCTTCTTATCTGTCCATTTTTTCCAAGAATTCCATGCTAGACTGCAGCACTGACCTTTTATTCCATGTGAGTAACATACAGTTAATACCTGAAATAACTGTGAAAAAGGGACAAACAGCCTGTTATAGCCTCTCTCCCTCTTTCAGAGACAGTCTAAGAAGAAGACAAATTTAGTCAGAATGCTTTTATATTAGTAACTGTTAACTAGTATTTAATCACATGACAAATTGCCGGATTATATCTGTATCTTGCTTGTGGTGAGAATACTCAACTCCCATTAGTTTCTGCAGAAATCAAGAGCACTAAATATACTGCAAGTGTGAACTTAAAATAAAGTTATCATCTAACTTTAAGACTTTTCCCTTTGTTTAATGCATCTCTGGCAATTTGTTCTGTTGTCTTTCAGTGTGTGTGGGGATGGCCTCATCCAAATTCATGAAAACAAATTTTTATTAATTATATGGTATCAATATATTATTATTCAGAATTAATACTTATAATTGGATTTATGATTATTCTATTTTAAGATTAAACACTGTACTTGAAGATGGCAATCATCTTCAGCTGGTGAGCATTGGCATCGTACCAAGCCAACACTTTCTGATGATGTTCTTAAACCAAAGGTGATTTTCAGAGAATGAAAAAAAAATCTGTGAAATCCTACAGCTAGAATTTACATATTTACATCAGTAACACAAGGTCTGCTTACCCGAAACTTCACAGTGCTGTGGTAGAATTTCTTCATTTCCACTTTGTCTGTCTACAGTGATAACAAAAGGAGAAAGGGTCATAGTCAAGAACAGAATGTCTGTTAGTAGCCTCTGCTGCTCAACAATAACTATTGTCTTCTGATAGTATGGATGATGTCAGTTATATTATTGATAGTCTAAAGGTATGAATGGAGAAATATATATAGAAGGAAGCAGTACTTCTGTTTTACATTAGACCAGATATTAGACGTGCTTGAAAAAATCAGGTTTGGGGTTTGTCTTATTTCTTCCAAGTCTGGCTTTTTATCAAGCAAACTGTTACATGTTTCTGCCACAAATCTTCCTTCTCAAGACACATGTACCAGTTGGTTCTTGATCCAAAACCCTTCAATTTCAGGGCGTAAAACTTCATTTGACTTTGGTGGTTCCAAGAAAAATGCAAAGAACATTTCTGATAGTGCTGTAGAAAATTAGCTCTTTGAAAGCTATCATTAATATGATAGCATTATTAGCATTATAATAATCAACATTGCATTCATTAGTAATGATTAGCTATTTAGTTTTAAATGACTTTCCATAGAAACTGATGCTTAATACCTTAATAAGAAAGGGTAATCACAAGTATCTAAATAAATGTATCCATTATTATACTTTCTGTATTTATACCAGAGACGCTTTAAAAATAGCTTGAAAATCTCAAGGATATTTCCATGACAACTTCTCACTATTCTCAGTTCAAGCATTAAACTAAATGAAGGAGATCAGGCAGCAGATGATCTCTTCACACACTTAAATCTATGAGTTGTACAAACAGCTTCAAGGGAAATAGAAGGAAAGCTTCCTGTGTCAGAATTTTAACTGTTCATAAAACTTGAATTTTGTTGGATTGAGGCAAGATTGCCTGTTACTGAATGTCTTGGCATGGAAAAATGCATGACACTGCACTGCACTTAATATCTATCCAAACTGTATTTTCACAGTTTTAGCTGAGATTCCTCTGTAATGGTATCAGTAGTATCTTGTATGCACACTGTGTAAAAAATTATGTAAAAATACTGAACTAAGGCTAGTTTCAAATTACATTTGAGGCTATATAATTTCTAATTTTCTGTCTCTTGGGCATAGCAGTGTCACACTGAAGTTAATCCATTTTTTTTTGCCTTAAGTTTTCTTCTACAAAAAAAATAAAACATCAGAAATAGGAAAGATTTTAAACAAAATTTAATGTTGTAGGTGACCTTTTGATATGCTAAAGGTAAGCTATTTCCTTTATTCAGATACCTGTTTTGAGTTTTATTTTGCATTTTTCTATAAAAATATAACATAAAAAAATTAGTAAGAATCAAAATTGAACATACATGTTTTCCCTAAAATAAAAGATCTCCAATTATTTTCAAAGCATCCTGAAATTACAAGGACTTGTTCAGATTTTGGCAAAAAACCCCACAGTTCCATGATCTGTAACAAAACATGCACATCCTGCAGAATATCCAACTTCAACTATGACTTCTGCACAGGGTGAATAAAGGGCTGAAATTTTCACACAAAAATACAAACACATGTACATATGTATGGGTACATAGTCATAGAGTTACTGATTCCAGTAAACCTGCACCAGTTTACTCTTGGTTAGAATGAACTTCATGCTTGTTCAAACTGCTCTCATGTTGTATTTTCAAATCTGCTTTTTCTTTTTTTAAGAATGTAAACAATGGATCTATTTTTTTCTTCTGAAATGGGATAATGGGAGGTCAGGGAAGAAGAACATCATTTTCCTTTGATAAATAAAAAACGTTACATATATTTTACATGACAGAAAAATGTGTCAGATTAGAGAGTATTTCTAGAATGTACTTTAACACAAAGCTACCACCTGTGGAATCCCCACTTTCAATACTTACTATGATATCTCCACCTCGTAAAAATTGTACTCGGGGCTGGAAAACCAGTAAGTCACACAGGTAGCAGATATCACAAAGCATGTCTATGGCAAACCAATATATTAGATTACTTGGGGTTTGATATGGAAACACAAAACGAAGGGGAATAAGCCAGCAATTCCAATTATAGGCGATTGTCACAATCAGGAGCCATGCTACATAACGGCGATCTGAAAGAAAAACAAGCATTAATTTTAGAGGCATGAACTTAAAATCTTTCATTCTTTTAGACATATTTATTCTACTGCAGTCTCTGGTAATGTTTCCTTGCCCAGGGCAACCAACCATTCTCCCTTCTTCAACAACAAGAGGCTGCTAAAGTGATATAGATTGGAACAAAGAGTCATACAAAGAATTTGCAAAAGGGAAAAAAGAAGAGTTTATGAGACCATGTGGAATTTAATGCTTCTGAAGACACTTGATACATTTAGAATTTGGCCCTAATGAATGGGACAAATTCTAGACAAAGAATTTGAAGACTTGTCTTGGAATGTGGATCTTATGGCGGTTCACAGGTACTATGTAATCCTAGGCCACTTCAGTATGCTTTCACCCCATTCTGTTCCTTAGCTTTTCATTTACCTGTGTATGAGTCTATGCTTTCTGGCAGCTTCAGATACTCAAAGTATTTTTTCAGTGGACGTGTCTTGAATTTACAGCACAGCATATCACAGTAATGATCCTCCTCTGGCTTTGCTTCTGCTTCATCTTTCTTTTCTTCTTTTTTTTCTTCTTTTGGTGGAGGTGGTGGCTTCTTTGCTGGTGCTAGTCACATAGAATGCCATAAAGGGTGACATTTTAATAACAGCTCAATTTCTACATTCTATTCTAACATGTACAAGAGCCTCATCATGTTCATAACTCTTCTAAAAACAATTGGCAAAGACTAAAACTGCAATTCGTTATAATACTGAATGCATTAGAAAATACATTGGAGAATAAAGTCACCACTGGTATAATCATATACATCTATTGAGGGCCAGGCACTCCATGTTACATATTACTGTTTCCTTGAACAGTGCTCTCAACTAATGTTATAAAAGACTGACAAGAAATAAGTTAATTTATAATTCAGTATAAATTACTGCAACTAGGAGTTTCTCTTTTCATGACTGTTGCAACAACGCAAGAAGTTAGGATGGAGATCAGAAAAGTCTGTGCCATAAGCCGTTCTCTTCCCTCTCCTGAGAACTGGTATGCCAGATACAACAGGTGAAACTAATGAGAGGCACATGGTTTTGTAGGTTTCTAGGTTTACAAAAGTCTTGTGGCACTTCTTTGAGCCCAGTTCTTCCATCACTGGACTGGATAACTTTGTCCACACTTTTGTTCCATAAATTCTGGTGGCTTTACCTCTGAGTAGGATACACAGTCCCAGCAGGAAACTGGTAAACTACATCTATAATGATTTAGGAAATGAATTATTTTAAGTTCTACAAAGACAACAAAAGAGGTAAATGAGCAAAGAATTGATAATGTGTAACAAATTAATTCCTTTATCAGCTGGTATAGTTTATAATACCTTAGGCACCATTTTTTTTCCCAGCATATTAAAAATCAGGTAAGCAATAAACAGCTTCTAAAAAATGTCAGAATATAAAACCACCATACTCAATTCTTTGTGAAAAGGGGAAAAAAAATCAAACTAAAATACTGTATTTGTTTTATCTTCCATATTTTTCAAAAATAAATGCTTAATTAATTTCAGATGAGTTTGGTCTATTCAAAGCATGTTCTTAGAGTCCTCAGTGTCTCTGCTGTCATGGTTTGTTTTTTTTTTTTTTTTACTTTTACACAGCAGATCTAATCTTAGAGTGACTGATGTCTACTCATAAGATACATATGTTTCTTTGTACATTTCAGATTCTTCCCCATGAATAAACATCTCTGGGAGCTATTTTTAAATACATAAAATGCTTGTCAGGGATGATTCTAGATATTTCCCAAGATTCTTTCCTCAAATTCTTCAGTGCTGGGGTTCAAAGGGAGCTTGTACCAAAGGACCTAGCTTACTCATAAGGATAAATTGACTTCAGAGGGCTCAAACTGATCCATTTCAGTGAGTAAACATGTTATACTTGAAAATTTTATCACAATATTTTCTGTTTCCAAAAAATACTTTTTGTCTTTAAACTCAACAAATGCATAGCTGGAGTCACTTACAAGCTGTAGGACTTCCTTCAGGGGAGGACAACACTGGGTCTTTCAGCTTTTCCTTATAGACTGCTGCCCTTTCACGCATTTTTCTGACGATCTGTTGAAGTTGGGCATTAACATACTCATTCGTTTGGACACCTGAAGGTGTTGGCTTCTGTGTGCTATGTAAAACAAAAGGGAAAAAGCTTAATGTACTGGAAAGCAATGAAGGATACTTTTGAGCAAGACTAGATTTTTATTGACCATGGTGCTTATTCACATAATTCAATTCACTGTAAGTGGACACCTAAGTTCACTGTTCTTGCTTCCTGCTTATATCAACTGATTTTGCTGGCTACGTGTAGCAATCTACGTATTTCCAGCAGAGGAGTCAGGGTTTCCTGTACTCTGCAGAGCCCACTACAACAATGTCATTCTTCTGCTTTTCACCAAGTTCTACTGTGGCTTTGTAAGGCCTACAGCTTATCCTGTGTGTTCACTAAGATACAAGGCACGCATTTCCAATCTGTGGGCTCATTATTGTATGATAATATCCTACTGATGACAGGACATAACTGACTTGAAGACTGATGTGCAGGTGGGGGAGGAAAGACTATGCTTACTTTATGCTTCCTAATATTTCTTTCATCTGGTATTTGTTATGGGTACCAGCCAAGGTAAAAAAATAAATAAATAAGATGAGGTAAAAAAGGCATCTGTTTTACCAAGTGGAAAAAACCCCCATGATTGTGTTCTTGCTAAAGTTTCTTCTGTTTAGATTAAGAGGCTATTCAGGTCATAGAAACACTGAGCTGATATTCTGGTACTCATAGCATTTCTTCAAAACTGAGGACAGAGGATTTTCAAACACTGCAAGCTCATATTTCTGCACTGAAACTAATGCTTTTAATATGATCTAGGCATGCTGTGAAGTCAATTAGGAAATCTAGAGAAGAGTGATTCTTGGTCAACTATTTTGGGCTTATTCATACCCGGAATTTCATCCTCATTACTTGCTACTGTCTGACTATGCAAACTGGAGCTGTTTTGGAGTGCCACCCAGCTGACAGGTGAGCCGTGCATGTGGACATCCTCTATGTGGGGATCAGGACATGGGATTACTTCTCCATCCTAAACTCAGCACTTCTCAGCTGGTGTCACATGCCAGTATCAGAGCTGATTGGAAATGGCTGTGACCGGCGCAGGGCAGGTCAAGGACTCCTCCCACACAGGTCCCAAATGCCTGTATGGAAACCCTGGCAGCTATGCCCAGTACAGGTTGTACAGCAGAGAACTGTTCTTTCTTTCTTAACAAAAGCACTGAGAGAAGAGGCAGACCAAGACCGAAGCATACCTGAAATCTACAGATTTTTGAGAAGACTTTCCTAAAGGTGAATAGAAGGAAAGTAGTTTGACAGCACCTTGGGTAGGGAAGAAATGGAAAACACTGCAAAGTAAACATCATGCCTCCTCAAGATCTAAACCTACTTTGAAGTTTCTAACAGAAGGAGCTGTAACTAAAAAAGGAGAGTGTCAGAGTGAGATGCATGTAGCTTTTTGAGAAGCAGTTTTCTGGAGACACAACACATATGACAGTGCCCAAGGAAGCATAATTTAAGGATGTGAAAATCCTTCAGCAGCACAACCAGTGGATAAAATAGAGATAAGCTATTAAAAGCAGAAGAAGCAGAAGTCTGGAAGTATATTCTTATCACTCCTCTAATTTAAGTCTTCTGTAGTGTGTATTTCTTAAAATTCCCCAGACAGGACATTAACCAAACAGTTCTGACATACTTTGTAATCTCATCACAGTTCCTTTTGTGTTATATATTCCTTTTGCTCAGGCAGTCTGCAGTGTACTGAAATCCTTTCTTGTTTTCAGCTAACATCGCACAACTAGTTCTTCAGCTTCTGTGCAAAGAATTTCAAATAATTCTTACTCTGTTTTGTTGCTGTGTTTGCTCAGGGCAATAGCTATCTTATAGTAAAATACACTTATCACAAGAGTCATGCCAAAGGCTCATTCTATTCTCTTTCTATGGATAAACTGTAAATTGCATGGGATTTTCTTGTTATTTCACAGCCTTTCCAATAAAAGTTAAAGTCTCTTCTATCATACATTTGGTGCTTTATCATTGCAATACAGCCCAAAGAAACTATGTTGTTATTTGGTACTGATTAGAAGCTATGTGAATGTGTTCAGTTATTTGCCCAACAGTTGATGAGAAATTGATTTTCCTTGCCCTACTTCTCGTTTGGTTTTCATTATCTCCTTCTCTATTTTTTTCTAGTAACAAAATGCTTACTTTAAATTTTCTCTGATTAATACCATTGGAAGAGGCTGCATGTTGAACCCTGCTAATTGAAGATGTTTATTGGACAAGAGATTGTGTGGAGGTACACTTTAAATTGCCTTGGGTAACAAGCTCTGGCTCAGCACCTCCTGACTAGCCTGAGATAATTTCCCTAGCAGATTTGCGGTGCTTTCCTCTTTTTCTCTTTCTTGTTTAGTGATGATTCTTACACTATTTGTGGGCTCTTTCATGTGGTAAAATTTTATTACCTCTATTAACATGTTCTATAAATTCATATATGTAAACACACAGCTGACAGCAGAACATGACAGCCAGTGAGAACAAGAGTACTTTTTACGGGTCAGAGACCATGCTAAGGTAATTCTATTTGAAGAGACCACAGTTAATATTTTTAATTTGTCCATCATAGTACATCGTGATGTTTCTGGTTCTGCTTAGCTGCTCCTCAGACTTTCAGATCTTGTGCCTACAAGAAAAATTAGTTTGACTTACGCGTTTATCATGCTCTGTTAAGGAGATAGTGCCTCATTTTGAATTACTAATTATGTTTATTCTTACCTCAGAGTTACATTTACAGACTGTATTGATTTCATGCTGGGCTTGTTGTGGTTTTATTCCCTGTATGAAAGCTCTCACAGGGTGATCAAACTTGTGGATATTGATCAATTGCTGTTTTGTCTCTGTCTGTGTTATATAGCTGAATAGTTTATGCTACACAGGCAGATCTGCACAGTCAGGGGTAAATCTGCTCCCTCGCTTATACTCTGCTTAACTGGGCAGAAAGATCCTTTGCCTTCAGTTTCCTGTGATGAGCTGTGCTGAGTGCTAGGATTTGTCTCTAAGCTGGTATATCATTCTTTAAGCAAAATGATCTCTGACTTTTGTGCAATATGTTACAATAGGCCTAGGTCTATTTTACTTACTGCACCATATAGTTCTTTACAGAGCAGAAATGTTTATTCCCTGCAGAAGCAATGATTTCACATGCTCTAGCAAACGTAAAACTCAGGACAGCTATGCAGTTTGTTATTGCCTCAAACATATTTTGTTTAGAAAGAGGAACATATGTACCAATAGAAAAATAATAATAATGCAGTTTTCTTAAGTTTTTAATGTGTAGTCTTTATCTTAACTTGTAGATTTAAACTTGTTTGTTTAGTCAATATAATTACAGTGCCTTAACTCTACTCATGCCAAGAGAAAAGGTTTAGATACCTGTAATATAGTGGAAGAAAATGGCCTTGAAATAACAGGCCATGCAAATATTGCATTGAGTGTGCTAATGTATATAACATCTGTTAAGTACAGTGGCTTTGAAGAGTTTTCTGCATTAAGAGTTCATACAAAATGGGGGTCAAGAAAGGAAATAGGTTATTTCAGAATAAATCAAGCTTAACCTTTTCTATGTTGCAATCCAGAGTTTAATTCTTTCTTGTTTTTTGGCCATGAATAACAAATACCTGAGTTCAACTCCATCCATCTACGAGGTGCCCCCTGAGAAAATGCATTTCACAAATATATACTGCTGCCCGAAACAAGTTCATACCCCTTTTTGCTGATTTCAATTCTAACCCTTTTTTGCAGCACTTGAGAAACTTTCTCCTGTCTCTTGGAAAGAAAATTCTTGATCTTGCAATAGAACTTTTAATGTTTTTATTGAGCACTCACATTATGATTTATGATCATTTTTAAAAACCACGTCTCAAAAAAGTAGTTTCTTATCTTATGCAGAACCTCTAATTTACATAAGCAGTTTTCAGAAGGATATGACAATGCATAGCTGTACAAATGACCACAAAATGATGGTATAGCTGAGAAAGATTTAAATGAGAAAATTTACTTCTAGGCATCACAAAAGATATTGATTCAAAAATAAATCCTCAAATTGTGCTGACAATTCCTATGTGGGTAATGTTAAAGAAATCAGAACCCTCTATCTGTCCCCTGTTTCAAGTCTAAACCACATATCCTAACTGACTGGAAAACCTAATGTTTCTCTGTAACAGAAAAAAATATTAGTCATCTACTTGGAACTGGGACAGGGGTTATCCAGTAAGTTAGCTCTAGCTATTCTGCTTATACTCCCTTTAGAGTCAATAGAAGGCTTATCTGAGGAGAAGTTCAGAATTACTAAGGTAGGTTTCTGGTCTGAATTTCCTGCAAAAGGAGCCTTTCTTCTTTACCTGCATAGGAAGTTTATGGAGTTTCAGGAATAAGTTTTAGTATTTTCTTTAATGATGTTGGTATAAAATGTATTAGTGTGCTAATGATGTTTGATAGGACATGGAATCAGGAAGATTAAAAAGCAGGACTGATTTCTATATGGAAAAAACTGACTTATTATGTGGCAAATCTAATGCTACATAATACAGAAATGAATTGCGAGAACAGAACAAATTGCAAGAATTTCTTTCGTAAATGGTGGCATCATCAATTGTAGGTGACAAAAGGAATAGATATTCAAGTGTTTCAGTCAACAGCATGGTACCTATGAGCCACACTATAATCTGGCTGTGAAAAATGCTGATGCAAGAGCAATCCTAGAATGCACCTGACATACTGCTGGCGAAGGAAGCATTAATATCAGTGCACAAGCCAGGAGTTATTCTGACCAGCTGTACTCAAAAGGTAAATTAACTTAGGAAACTGTATAAAAATTGTTTAGAAAGATCAAGGCTACTGAGAACTTGGTTTTAAAATGGAGAGCAAAACTGATTGGGAGGCAATAAGATTGTTGCTTATAAATACAAATTTTGCTGGAGAACCAGGTAGGACAAAGGCATATTTGAGCTGAAAACCAGTATTGTAACAAGAATGTTACTACTGTAACAATAATAAATATGAATAGAAGCATCATGAATTAGTGT